GAGACAGATCTACGCAGTTATCTGTTCCCAAAGTGTTCTCCGTAGCCCAGACACCCACAAAGATTCACAGAGTTGGATTGGGAAGAGAAGGGGAAAGGAGGAAATTGAGGTGTTCCGAGGTAGAAAACAGAGAGTCAAAAGTGGGAGAGTAATCACCACACTCCTGAATAGAAATGGGAACTGAATATTGGATTCTTAAATGACCAAAATTTATATCACATACTACTGAAAAACAAAGATTAAAAATCTAGTGTAGAGGTTAGACTCTTTGAAATACAATATTTAAAAACAAAAACACACAAAAAAATTTAGAAATGTATATGAAGTTTGATTTAAAAATAGGGTTTTTCTCTCTTTTTTTTTTTTTTTTGGCAAGGTTATAGTGAAATGAAAATGAAAATTAAGGAATAATAGAGGAGTATTAGAGGACTTTAAAAGGAAATAGGAGAGAAAAACAAGAAAAAGAAAAAAAAAGAAAAAAAAAATTTTTTTCCCTAATTAAAAAAATCGTAAAAATATATGAAAATGAAAGTTGAGGAGTAATGGGGGAGTAATAGGGAATTTTAAAAGAAAATAAAAGAGAAAAAATAAAAAAAATTAAAAAAAGGATAGAAAAAAAAATTTTTTTTTTAAATTAAAAAAAAAATATATATATATATCTAGGAATTTCTCTGGAGTTGTTGCAGTCAGCGTAGGTTCAGTTCAATTTCAGATAGCTCCTCTTTCCAGCTTACACTTCTCGATATCTGTAGGCCCCTTCTGGTGTATTCGGTGTTACCTTCAGGGATTTTAATCTGTTGCACCGGTCCTTTCTGAAGCGGTTCCCTTTGTTTATTTGGCTTCTGTTTGCCGTCTCTTTGGTGTCTAATTTCCGCCCTGACACAGGCGGGTGGAGGTGATCTCTTATTTAGGTTCTCTACTTCAGTTCAGTCCTGCTACGGGGAGGGGGGAGCGCTGCAGACAGATACCGCTCTGTGTGGATAGCACTCACCGTGTTCCGGCCACACTGGGTTTGCCCCGCTCACGGGTGTCAGCGCTTTCGCCGTCTACAGTGCTCAGGCTCCCGGCTGCTCCACATGGAGCGGGCCCTGCGTTGAGTGCGGTTCCAGTTTTCGGGTACTCCACAAAAGCGCGAATTCGGTTGCGCCTGCGTTTTGTGCCTTCCCCGGCCTGAGCGGTTCAGGCAGCCAGAGGCTTGGGCGCACTCTCCCCGGACGTGGCGCGCCTTTTCCCTCCGCGTCGAGCGGCCCAGGCAGCCAGAGGCTTGGGCGCACTCTCCCCGGATGTGGCGCGCCTTTTCCCTCCGCGGCGGGCAGCTCAGGCAGCCAGAAGCTTGGGCGCACTCTCCCCGGGTACGGCGCGCCTTTTCCCTCCGCGTCGAGCGGCCCAGGCAGCCAGAGGCTTGGGCGCACTCTCCCTGGGTGCGGCGCGCCTTTTCCCTCAGCGGCGAGCGGCCCAGGCAGCCAGGGGCTTGGGCGCACTCTCCCCGGATGCGGCGCGCCTTTTCCCTCAGCGGCGGGCAGCTCAGGCAGCCAGAGGCTTGGGCGCACTCTCCCCGGGTACGGCGCGCCTTTTCCCTCCGCGGCGGGCAGCTCAGGCAGCCAGAGGCTCTGGCGCAATCTCCCCGGGTGCGGCGTGCTTTTTCCCTCCGCGCCCCCAGCGCGCGCCGCCAGTCGGGTCTCAGGAAGTCTTTACATAGGAACCGGGGGCCTGTTTGCAGTGTGGGAGGGGGTGGCTTCTCAGGGGCTGAGTTTGCCCTTTTCCCCTCCCCCCTGCCTCCAACCTCCAGCGGGGATGGGCCGGCTCTTCTCTGGACTTTCTCAGTCCCTTTGTTTTGCGAACCGCCGGCAGTGTGTTCGGGCCCTAAGCAATGCCGCCCGCTCCTCTCCGTCCCGGCCCTGCTTGTTGCTGGCGGGTACGGGCGTCTGGGGTACTTTTCTGCTGGGAGTTGCTTTTAGGCACGTAATCTGTGGGCCTTGTTTAGTTTTTCCTCCCAGTTAGATTGCCGAAAACTTCCCCCAGTCCCGCCAGTGCGAGGGTTTCCTGGTGATTGGAAACTTCCTCTATTAAGACTCCCTTCCCGGGACAGGTTTCCGTCCGTAGCTCTTTTGACTCCCTTTTTATCTTTTATATTTTGTCCTACCTCCCTTCGAAGACAATGGGCTGCTTTTCTGGGCGCCTGATGTCCTCTGCTAGCGATCAGAAGTTGTTTTGTGAAATTTGCTCAGCATTCAAATGTTCTTTCGATGAATTTGTAGGAGAGAAAGTGGTCTCCCCGTCCTATTCCTCCGCCATCTTGGCTCCTTCTCCTCTTTGTTTAGTTTTGATATCAAAGGTGATGCTGGTCTCATAGAATGAGTTCAGAAACTCCTTTCTCCGTCATTTGTTGGAAGAGTTTCAGGATAGTTTCTAAATGTTTGGTAGAATTCACCTATGTAGCCATCTGGCCCTGTACTTCAGTTTTCTGGAGTTTTTAAATTGCTGATTCAGTTTCAACACTGATAATTGGTCTGTTCATATTTTCTCTTTCTTCCTGATTCAGTCTTTGAAGATTTTACCTTTCTAATAATTTATCCATTTCTTCTAGGTTGCACTTTTTTGGTGTTCATAGTAGTTTATTATGATCCTTTGTATTTTTGTTAGTTTCTCCTTTTTCCATTTCTTAGTTTATTAATTTGGGCCTTCTTTCTTCTTTTCTTGATGAATCTGGCTAAAGGTTTATCAGTTCTGCTTATCTCTTCAAAGGGGCAGTTTTTAATTTCATTGATCTTTTCTACTTTTTAGTTTATTTCATTTATTTGTGATCTTGTATTTGTGATTTCTTTCCTTCTACTAACATTGGATTTTGTTTGTTCTTCTTTCTCTAGTTGCTTTAGGTGTAAGTTTAAGGTGTTTATTTGAGATTTTTCTTGTTTCCTGAAGTAAGATTGTATTGCTGTAAATTTCCCTCTTAGAACTGGTTTTGTTGCATCCTGTAGGTTTGGGATTGTTGTGTTTTCATTTTCAGTTGTCTTCTAGGTATTTTTTATATGTGAACTTCCCTGTGTAGCCTGCGTGGGTTTAATATTTTTTGGTGCAAGGGCTGTTTTTAGTGTAAATACCTACCATCTCTTTCTTCCGTTTATGGTGACCATTATCCTTTTCAATGGAAGCATGACTGATGTAGTGGTGACCAGACCCTGGCCTGAATATTTAATGGGGCCTCGCCTTTGCTCTGTGATTGTCAATGCTGTGTCAGGGGTGGGGTCTGCTCCCTAGTTGTTGGAGCAGAGGCATGTAGATCTGTTTCTGAGCTGTTTCTGATCTGTGGTGTGTGAGGTAGCTGGACTTGGAGCACTCCCACTTGGAGAGGAGACACTGAGTAGCCCTTCTCTGGAGCTGTTTGTCTGTGGGTGTGCTCTGTTATGTCACCTTTGACCCATTGTGCAGACTCACAGATTACACTGTTGTTGGCACTGCTCTTGGCCCAGCCTAACTGTGAGTATACTGGCAATTTGCCCTGGTGTCTCTAAAGTGTTTTGACCAGTCCACCAACATAGATCACTGAATTCAGGTTCCAGAATTGTAGTAATCATAGATATGGACCCACTGTGGGCACTATGGGGACAGCTCAGACTCTGAACTAGCCCATCCACCATGTGTATGTGCCCACAAAGTTCACTGCTGCTAAAGCTAGACCTGTCTTAGCTATGGGATCACTCATTGACCATTCAGATGTTCCACAGGTGCTGAGTTTATAAAACCTGTCACAAGGGTGTACATCTGCTATCTATACTGTTGTAAGGAGAGGTTTCAGCTCATTTTCCTTAGTTTCACAGCTCCTGTGTCTCAGCTGTGGTTTCAGCCCCACCTCTGCATGAGACCCACCTACGGGCATCTGTGCCTCAGACTTCCCTGGAGCATCTGCACCTGCCCCAGTGGCCTCGGAGTGCAGGGGCGGGGGGTGGGGGAGGGGAGGCGTGGCAGTCACAAGCGCTCGAGAGCCAGCCCTGGCTGGATCCTATTCTAGTGTCCAGGGAGCCAGGGGCTGGTGCATGGCAAGAGGGGCTGCAATGGCAGACTCACCCTTTGTGCATCATTCAGCAATGGCACCTCATTTCTACGGCTCTACAGGCTTTCTGTGTGAGCATTTCTGGTTGAAGAGCTACTCTCCCCGACCCCCTTTGACTATCTCCTCACAGCCAACAGCAGCCCTTTCCCGAGGTCTGTGCATCCAACCCCATGGTCCAGTACCTATCCCTCGTCCATACTGGCAGACACATGTCTCGGGCTGGGGCACTCGGAGCTGTGGCTCCAACCTGTGTAGGTTTCACTCTGTCCTGACACCACAGACTGGCTGCTGTGCTCTCCTCCAAGCCCTCACAGCTGTCCTAGCTGATCTCCCCACCAGTAAGAGGGCATTCTTGGATGCTGAAACCTCTTCTTTCCTTCAGCTCCCCCCAGGAGCACAGGTCCCAATCCACTTCCCCTCCTTTTCCCTTTCCCTTCTTCTTTCTTTTGCCCCCTGTTACGTGGGGATCTTTCTTGTCCCTTTAGGTGTCTGAGTCCCCTGCTAGTGCTCAGCAAATGCTCTGTGAGAACTGTTTCATTTGTAAATACATTCTTGATTCATCTGTGGTGATAGGTGAGCTCTACATCCTCCTACTCCTCCATCTTGACCCCTTTGACTCTCCTTGAAATATGATTCTCTTTTAAAACTAGTAACCAATGAATCTGTAATGAAAATAGTAGTTTTACAGGTTTTATACTTACTTGAATGTTGGAACTAAGTTAATTATGTATCTATGGGGAGTTCAGTAACTTAATTTGCTTTGTGCTGTGTATTCTATTGATAGGTTGAGAAAAAGGTGATATGGTTTAATATTTTCTTTAGGTAGCTCAGGATGAATGAAACATTTTCTAGGGAATTTTCTAGTATTACTAAGACTTTACTAAATTATTCATCTATTTTGTTAGTACTGATTTATGAATATAGAATTAAGAAGTGTTTTTCTTTTCAGAATTAATAAATTATTTGTTACTTGGAAACTGACCGTTAAAAGAATTAAGACTGATAAGAGCAGGTAAGTCTATGAAATACAATTATAAAAATTTTGAGAGGAAGCCTTATTTGAAATATGTAGTATGCAAATAGATATACATTAATTTTAACTGAGTGATTAAAAAGTCACATTCTATACCCCTTATGATTAAATTTAATCCATTTTATTTTTAAGACTATTATGATATTGTATATATTTAACATAAAATGTTACTGTATATATAAATGTAGTCAGTTCAGTTGCTCATTTGTGTCCAGATCTTTGTGACCCCATGGACTGCATCACGCCAGGCTTCCGTGTTCATCACCAATTCCCTGAGCTTTCAAAACTCATGTCCATTGAATCGGTGATGCCACCCAATCATCTCATTTTCTGTCGTCCCCTTCTCCTCCTGTCTTCAATCTTTCCCAGTATCAGGGTCTTTTCCAATGAGTTAGTTCTTCACATCAGGTGGCCAAAGTATTGGAGTTTCAGCTTCAGCGTCAGTCTTTCTAATGAATATTCAGGACTGAGTTCCTTTAGAATGGTCTGGTTGGATCTCCTTGCTGTCCAAAGACTCTCAAGAGTCTTCTCCAACACCACAGTACAAAAGCATCAATTCTTCAGCATTCAGCTTTCTTTATGGTCCAACTCTCACATCCATACATGAATACTAGAAAAATCAAAGCTTTGACTATACAGACCTTTATCAGTAAAGTAATATCTCTGCTTTTTAATATGCTGTCTAGGTTTGTCATAGCTTTTCTTCCAATAACTACTTTTTATATTTCCCTGTATACCATTTTGTGGTGTGAAGAAATCAGAGTGCTGTGGGGAACCTATGACGAGTTCTTTTGGTCACTTGATCTAAATTTTTGTTTATTCATTTGTTTATTTATTTAGGGTTTCCCAAATAGCTCAGTTAGTAAAGAATCTGTCTGCAATGCAGCAGACCCTGGTTCTATTCCTGGGTTGGGAAGATCTGCTGGAGAAGGGATAGGCTACCCACTCCAATATTGTTGGGCTTCCCTTGTGGCTCAGCTGGTAAAGAATCCACCTGCAATGAGGGAGACCTGGGTTCGATCCATGGGTTGGGAAGATCCCCTGGAGAAGGGAAAGGCTACCCACTCCAGTATTATGGCCTGGAGAATTCCATGGACTGTATAGTCCATGAGGTCACAAAGAGTCGGGTACAACTGAGTGACTTTCACTTTATTTATTGTCACTTTATTTTTTTAATTTAAGGGTATTTGATTTACAGAATTTTATGGTTTTCTGTCATACATCAAGAATCAGCCATAGGTACACCCATGTCTCCTCCCTCCTGAACCTCCATTCCATCTCCCTCCCCGTCCCAACCTTTTAGATTATCACAGAGCCCCTGTTTGAATTCTCTGATCATACAGCAAATGCCCATTGGATATCTAATTTACATGTTGTGTTGAAAGTTTCCATGTACTTTCTCCATACATCTCACCGTCTCCCGCCTCTCCCCACCCGCCGTGTCCATACATCTGTTCTCTATATCTGTTTCTCCACTGCTGCCCTGAAAATAAACTCATCAGTGCCATCTTTCTAGATTCCATGTATATGCATCAGTATATGATATTTATATATTTCTCTTTCTGACTTACTTCACTCTATATAATAGGTGCTAGGTTTATCCACCTCATTAGAACTGACTCAAATGCATTCCTTTTTATGGCTGAATAGTTTTCCATTGTGTGTGTCTCTGTGTGTGTGTGTGTGTGTGTGTGTGTGTGTGTGTATTTATCTGTCAATGGACATCTAGGTTGCTTCCATGTATAGCTATTGTTAATAGTGCTGCAGTGAACATTGAAGTACATGTGTCTTTTTCAGTTTTGGTTTCCTCAGGGTATATGCCTAGTAGTGGGATCGCTGGGTCATATGGTGGTTTTATTCCTACTTTTTTAAGGAATCTCCAAACATCTTCCATAGTGGCTGTATCAATTTACTTTCACACCGGCAATGCAAGAGAGTTCCCTTTTCTCCACACCCTCTCTAGCATTTATTGTTTGTAGACTTTTTGATGATGGCCATTCTGACTGGTGTGAGGTGGTATCTCGTAGCCATTTTGATTTACATTTCTCTAATAATACCAGTCCATCCTAAAGGAGATCAGTCCTGGGTGTTCATTGGAAGGACTGATGCTAAAGCTGAAACTCCAATACTTTGGCCATCTCATGCGAAGTGTTGACTCATTGGAAAAGACCCTGATGCTGGGAGGCTTTGGGGGCAGGAGGAGAAGGGGACGACAGAGGATGAGATGGCTGGATGTCATCACTGACCTGATGGACATGAGTTTGAGTAAACTCTGGGAGTTTGTGATAGACAGGGAGGCCTGGTATGCTGCTGTCTATGGGGTCGCAAAGAGTCAGACGCGACTGAGCGACTGAACGAAACTGAATAATGAGTGATGTTGTGCTAGCATCTTTTCATGTGTTTGTTAGCCATCTGTGTTTCTTCTTTAGAGAAATGTCTGTTTAGATCTTTTTCCCACTTTTGGGTTGGGTTGTTTGTTTTTCTGATATTGAGTTACATGAGATGTTTGTATATTTTGGAAATTAATTCTTTGTCAGTTGTTTCCTTTGCTATTACTTTCTCCTATTCTGAGGGTTGTCTTTTCACCTTGTAGTTTCATTTGCTGTGCAAAAACTTTTAAGTTTAATTAGGTCTCATCTGTTTATTTTTGTTTTTATTTCCATTATTCTAGGCGGTTGGTCGAAGAAGATCTTGCCTTGATTTATTTCATCGAGTGTTCTGCCTTTGTTTTCCTCTAAGAGTTTTATAGTTTCTGGTCTTACATTTAGGTCTTTAATCCATTTTGAGTTTATCTTTGTGTATAGCATTAGGAAGTATTCTAATTTCATTCTTTTGCATGTAGCTTTCCAGTTTTCCTAGCACCACTTACTGAAGAGGCTGTTTTTGCCACATTGTATATTCTTGCCTCCTTTGTCAAAAATAAGGTAACCTTAGGTGTGTGGGTTTATCTCTGGGCTCTCTATCGTGTTCAGTTGGTCTATATTTCTATTTTTGTGCCATTACCGTATGTCTTGGTGACTGCAGCTTTGTAGCGTGACTAAAGTCAGGAAGCTTGATTCCTCTAGCTCCATTCTTCTTTCTAAAGACTGCTTTGACTATTCAGAGTCTTTTGTGTTTCCATATGAATTGTGAAATTTTTTTTTTTAGTTCTGTGAAAAATGCCATTGGCAATTTGATAGGGATTGCACTGAATCTGTAGATTGCATTTAGTAGTGCAGTCATTTTCACAATATTGATTGTTCCTACCCAGGAACATGGAATATCTCTCCATCTGTTTATGTCATCTTTGATTTCTTTCTTCACTGTCTTATAATTTTCCATATACAATTATTTTGTCTCCTTATGTTTATTCCTGGATATTTTATTCTTTTTGTTGCAATGGTGAATGGGACTGATTTTTTAATTTCTCTTTCTGATTTCTCATTGTTAGTATATAGGAGTGCAAGTAATTTCTGTGTATTGACCTTGTATCCTGCAACTTTGCTGAATTCACTGATAAGCTCTAGTAATTTTCTGATAGTTTCTTTGGGGTTTTCTATGTATAGTATACATAGTATACTGGAATAGGTCAGTTTTCATTCCAATCCCAAAGAAAGGCAATGCCAAAGAATGTTCAAGCTACCGCACAATTGCACTCATCTCACATGCTAGTAAAGTAATGCTCAAAATTCTCCACGTCAGGCCTCAACAGTAGGTGAACCATGAACTTCCAAATATTCAAGCTGGTTTTAGAAAAGGCAGAGGAACCAGAGATCAAATTGCCAACATTCACTGGATCATCGAAAAAGCAAGAGGCTTCCAGAAAAACATCTGCTTTATTGACCATGCCAAAGCCTTTGACTGTGTGGATCACAACAAACTGTGGAAAATTCTTCAAGAGATGGGAATACCAGACCACCTGACCTGCCTCCTGAGAAATCTGTATGCAGGCCAGGAAGCAACAGTTAGAGCTGGACATGGAAAACAGACTGGTTCCAAATAGGGCAAGGGGTACGTCAAGGCTGTATATTGTCACCCTGCTTATTTAACTTTTATGCAGAATACGTCATGAGAAATGCTGGGCTGGATGAAGCACAAGCTGGAATCAAGATTGCTGGGAGAAATATCAATAACCTCAGATATGCAGATGACACCACCCTTATGGCAGAAAGCAAAGAAGAACTAAAGAGCCTCTTGATGAAAGTGAAAGAGGAGAGGGAAAATGTTGGTTTAAAGATCAACATTCAGAAAACTAAGATCATGGCATCTGGTCCCATCACTTCATGGCAAATAGATGGGGAAACAGTGAAAACAGTCAGAGACTATTTTTTTGGACTCCAAAATCACTGCAGATGGTGACTGCAGCCATGAAATTAAAAGATGTTTGCTTCTTGGAAGAAAAGTCATGACCTACCTAGACAGCATATTAAAAAGCAGAGACAGTACTTTGCCAACAAAGGTCCGTCTAATCACGGCTATGGTTTTTCCAGTAGTCATGTATGGATGTGAGAGTTGGACTATAAAGAAAGCTGAGTGCTGAAGAATTGATGCTTTTGAATTGTGGTGATGAAGACTCTTGAGAGTCCCTTGGACTGCAAGGAGATCCAGCCAGTCCATCCTAAAGGAAATCAGTGCTGAATATTCATTGGAAGGACTGATGTTGAAGCTGAAACTCCAATACTTTGGCCACCTGATTAGAACTGACTCATTTGAAAAGACCCTGATGCTAGGAAAGATTGAAGGTGGGAGGAAAAGGGGATAACAGAGGATGAGATGGTTGGATGGCATCACTGAGTCAATGGACATGAGTTTGAGTAGACTCCGGGAGTTGGTGATGGACAGGGAGGCCTGGTATGCTGCTGTCTATGGGGTTGCAAAGAGTTGGACATGACTGAGCTACTGAACTGAACTGAACTGATGTATAGTATCATGTCATCTTCAAACTGGTCATTTATTTTTGACTGTGCTGGGTCTTCTTTGTTGTGCATAGGTTTTCTCTA